AGGCTTGGAAGGTGCTAGAGCGCCGGCCGGCGGGAGGAGCGCAGGCGGCCACCGAGCTCCAGTGCAGGGGTCGTAGGTGCCTGCTGGGTTCGGGATCCCGGAGTCTCCAGCCAGCAACGAGACGAGAGGACTGAGGGCGCCAAGCCGGAAGTGGCAATGGCCCAGGCCCTCAGCCCTCTGCCCACGTCCAGTCTAGGACCGCAGGCTTTGCATCTCGGTAAGCCCAGGCCGGCTGTGAAGTCTCGCGGGTTGGCGAAGCCAGTAATCCAGCACCCGGTCGTTGGACCCTTCTGAGCCCGACGCGTGGCAGAGAAGAAAAGGGAAATTGTCAAAGCGGAGATTTCCGGCCATTACCGGGCAATCTTGCGGCCAGGGGAGCGGAAGGGTGAGAGAGACGGTCGTGATTGGCCGGGTCCACAGGTGCCCGCCTCTTGCCCCGTCCAGACGTCTGATTGGCTAAGGGCAAGGGTGGGGGCGGGACATTCCGGAACCCATCCTCCTTGCTGTGAGGGCGCCCAGTGAGCTTGTCCCGCTTACGAGACCTTCTTACGCGTCCCGCCTCCCTACCGCGCGGAGTCACCCCAGCAAGGGAAGAAATGCCCCCAGACCGAGCTGGGCCCTGAGCCCCTTCGACCGGACTGGGCCTTGCCTTCGGGCCGCACAGGAAGCGGGTGGGGAGCCCACACGGAATATTCCCCGCCTCCGCCCTCGCCCTTCTTTTGACCGCGCAGGCGCAGGTAAACGGTGAGCACCCAGGTGGGCCTCTCCCGAGCCGAACCGAGCCGCTGGGCGGTCAGGTGTGAGCAGAAGCCAGAAGGAAACAGGCCACATCCGAGCGGATACCCAGAGACACGAAGGCCCTTCCCTGGCGTCCCCCCGCCTGGCCAGCTGCTTCTCCCCCACCAAATCACGAACGCCCTTCGGCCTGACATTCTAGGCCCTTCCAAGATACCTCACCTGCCTCTGCCGTCTTAGTTGCTCTTGTCAAATATCTAAATTGCCAAGTTCCACTCTTAAAATGTTCCCGACAGCTTTGTCCCAGAATGGTGGGCCTCTGGATGGGTCTCTAGGGAGAAGTGGACTGAGACCCACGGAGCCCTTGGTATCATGACCCTCCACATGGTGCTATGAAAAGGGGAAACAGTTTCTCCTGGAGAGCGTGGCGTCGGAGTCCCTCAGAGGCCAGAGTGAAGTCTTTAAATGAGCCTCTGGCTCACTCAACAGATCTGAGTGTTTCAAGTCCTGGCACACTGGTCATGAAGCCCCAGGAAGCAAATAGCACTCTGTGCTAAGCTTGCACCAAGTGACCCACGCTCTCAATAGCGTTGTAGTAAGTGTCTTTCCTGCCTCTCTCTCTTTCATCAGAAAACTCGTTCCTGGGAGCAGCAAGTCTGCTTTATGGGTACAAGTCCCCCTTGCCCCTTACACTGAGCCAAGCTGAGAAATCCCATTTCTGAGTGACCAGATCCCTGAAGACAAGCTGAACGGAGGAAACAGCTTTCCTTGTCGCCTTTTCAAGAAAGGGCCATCTAACTCAACCAGTCCCGTAGCAACCCAACCCTAGATCCCACGGAGACCTCCCAGACACAACCAAGTTCTGCCTGGGCCTCCGCTAGTCAGCAGCTTTCTGGCATGCCGCTGATTACCCACCTCCCACCCCACTTGCCATCTCCAGCTGGGTTCAGCACCCCTGAAGGTCAAGTTTACAGTCTATCCTACTCTTTTTAGACAGCCCTACCTCGTAACATGCATTAGACAGTCAGTAGTTGTCAGGGTGCATGGAAAGAGGAATATTCTTTACGCAACAAAATTCCTGGACCTGAACCCCAGCTCCCAGCTCACTGGTTGTTGGCTAAGTTACTGGATTTCTCTCTCAGCCTCAGTTTCCTCATCTACAGAACTGGGATGGAATCCACTGCTCAGAGTTATGGAGCGTAGAAGCGACATACATACACGGCACTTGGTCTCACACCTGGCAGGCAGCCGCTTAACTGGCAGCGATTACTATTCTCAGTCCAGTCTCCTGTCCAAGCTCCCCTAGAGCTTGATCCATGGAAGCAGGTGGAGCCTCAACAGCCTCACTCAAGCAGATGTCCTCAAGGTCAGTTGATGACAGAAGTGAATGTTATCTTGGGAGCCGAGCTGCAAACCTTGGATAATAAGCGGCTGAGCCCATTCCTCCCCGGGGGGGGGGGGGGGGGGG